TAAAACAACATCCTGAACTTATGGTTACAAGATCTGACAAAGGCAATGTTACAGTGATAATGCTTAAACAACACTATTTAGATCTTTGCAACAATCTCATCAATGATGACCCATCATATCATGAAATTAATAAAGATCCCACACTTAAAGTGGAAAAGAAAAGTAATGACATTGTTAAGGAACTCCTCAGCACTGGACAAATAACCCAAGAACAAAAAAGAACTTTGACTACTTATAACTCTGTCCCTCCCAAATTTTATGCACTTCCGAAAATTCACAAACCTGTACTCTCAGTAAGACCTATAGTTGCATCAATAGGTTCAGCCACCCAGGCTTTGTCTTCATTAATATCGACAACACTAAAATCAGCACATGCAGATAATGATTACTACATCAAAGACTCATTTGAAGTCTCTCGTCAGTTCAATAGATTGACAATACCAGCCGATCATATTATCGCCAGTCTTGATGTGGTGTCGCTATTCAGCAACATCTATCTGGATGCATGTACAAGAACTATTAATAAACACTGGAATGAGATAAGTCAACACTGCAACATATCTCTAGAATCTTTCACCAACATTATAACATTCCTTTTTCATAACAATTATTTCTCTTTCAACAACAAAATATATTCTCAAACACATGGTTGTCCTATGGGATCTGTTCTGTCACCAATTTTGGCGGAATATGTCATGGATGATCTGCTTGATACTGTTATTCCGACACTACCCTATAACCTCTTCTTCATAAAAAAATACGTAGATGACATTATTTTATGCCTCCCTTCCATAGGTCTGGATGGTATTGTCAGAGAATTCAACAACTATGACCCCTACATCCAATTTACCATTGAAAAAGAAGATGAGAACCTGTCTGTCCCCTTTCTAGACACAAGACTCATTCTCACCAACAACAACAGTTTATTGGTAGACTGGTACCAGAAACCTATGGCCTCAGGTCGGTTTCTCAATTTTAGGTCATACCATAAGCTAAGGATTAAAATCAATTTGGTAAAACAGATGAAAACAAGGGTAATCAGCATCTCAGATAATACCTTCCACACCTCAAATTTACGTAAACTATCAAAACTGTTCATCAATAATGGTTATCCGAAGTGTCTGATTAACAAGATCATTTTTAGTTCACCTTCCAATATTTTGCCGAACTCTGGTGATGAAGGTAATAGTCGCACAACCCCTAATAACGGAACTGATGTAATTCCCAATAATAACATCAATCCTAACAGTACTAGCACCAACCCGGACTCCAGACCTGGTTTTGCTGTCCTGCCCTACATCAAGGAACTGACCCCTAAGCTGATCAGATTGTGCAGTCCTTTGAACTTTCGAATTGCTTGCAAATCCGTCCTCACTATAAACTGCATTTTTTCAAAAATGAAAGACAAAGTCCCGCTGCTTGGCTTAACCAACACAGTCTACTCCATCAATTGCAACAACTGCAACCAAATATACATAGGTCAGACCTCCAGATCTCTTAAAGGAAGGATTACATCACACAAAAGTGATGCTAGGCTACATCCTGAAAGATGCGCTCTAGCATCTCATGTTAACACAACAGGGCATTCTATGAATTACACAAGTATCAAAGTTCTTGATAAAGAAAAACACCTTTCCAAACGTTTATTCCTGGAAATGTCCCACATTTTCATGAATAACAACTGTATCAACAAAAAGACAGATGTTAAACAACTGAGTGTCATTTACTCATATTTTCTAAACTGCGAAAAATTGGAGAACTTACATATCTCCCCAAATTTCAACTCTTCACAACCATAATTAGAATCTGTGTTTTGGCCGTTTCCACCAGTAAAATTCATTCCACTCAAAATATAATAATTCTCTCCTCACGACTTATTAATAATTGTTAATTTAAATTCCCATTAATAATAATATAGTTTATTCAACTGCCTCTGGTCGGTTTAACAAATTCTAACATAAAATTCTAAAAATCTCATCATCTGAAGTGATTTGGCAACGTTTTGGCACACGCCCACAATTCGTTCCATCTTTCAATACTGACATTGACATCCTTCGGCCTTCTGTCAAAGGGTTTCATGTCACTCATCAATTCATCATTCCATGACCACTAATTTGTGCAATCATCAGGTGGTTTCACGATGTAATGTTTAAATTTTTTAAATAATTTTTAATCTGTTTTTAACTTGTTCTTGTCATGTTTTGTATAAATTTTGACTATTGTGCAATCTATTCAGCTCTCACCATGTTACTGGACGTTTCCCTCATCCTATACGTAAACAACAATTAGCAACATCCTCACATACTACTGTAAGTTGAGTCAATTTAAATTCATTTTACACCTTTGTTGCTACTGTTATCATTGTAATTGCAGCTCCTGATGATGATGGCAAAGTCCATTGAAAGCTAGAGAGAATTAAAAAAAAAAAAAAGTATAAAGAGTCCTCTTTGCTTAAATCTTGTCGAAGTACCCAACAAAAGGCGGAAGCTTTAATTTTTCACCTAACTGGTCTAGACGACAATGACCACGTCTCAAGTATATATATATATATATGGCGAATTTCTAGCATTTAGTCCATAACGTGGTAATCTCAGATAGTCATACTTGTGAATCTCCAATTGGACTGTGTAGCAATTCGAGTTTTCATGAATAATGTAGCAAAGTACGTACGCGCATGGCAACTGCAGTATCACCAAAAATTGAAAGAGAGGTTTGCAATGCTCGTTAAACTTAACACCTTACTGCACGTTTCTGCATTTTGAATGCACGCTCAGCGTGACATAACCCTCCCCAAACCATGAGGCGAATGAAAGATGCCGAAATATGCCTTTAACAGGCCTTCTTGTGTAGAGATACGTTGTAATTATTGCAATACGGATAACTGCAGTGAAAGTTTTTGCATAAAGATTCTAAATGAGCCTCCCATTTGAGAGCACCATCAATTTGTATGCCAAGAAGAAAACCGCATCATTTTTATTCAACAGATAATAGGAGCTTTCAGTTATTTAAGATCAGAAGAGGAGTGGATAAAACATCTTTTGGTATACCGTCTCACTCACTGGATACTCGATGAACCCTAAAATAGCACCCTGTATATATACTTTCATTGTTTTGTAACGAATTGAAAGTTGATTCTATGAACTGGAGATTGGAAGCTAAACATTTTGCAGTCATATCTTGGCACATTGGATATTAATCAAGCCATAGAGGGGTGTATTTTCGATTTATTTACTCTAAAAAGGGTCAAACCGGGAAGATGCGACCCGCTTCACTGGAAAACATAATAACGTGTACAGCCTGCAAACAGTAGAATCACTCGAAGCATGTTCGGGCTTGTGTTGTGCTGCTAGTGCCAACGTTCCCAGATACCAGGTGTTTTTTTCAGCGACAGACAGTCTTGGCAAGGTGTTTGGTACGGCCGCATTTTTTATTACTATTAAAAATATCTAGACAACTGTTGGGCGGATGGATCAACGTAGGAAGAAACTGGTTTGGCCGGGACGTGATCCTACTATTCTTAGTCTGTACACTATCGACATATTTTTCACTGCTCCAGTTTCAGGATCCAGTTTGTTTCCATGGCCTTTCTTGGCCAGCAAAGGGTTCCAACTTGCGTAAAAGCTTTCCTTCGTACCGCAATCAATAATCCCAGGAATTTCAGACAAGCAAGCATTTCCAAAAAACAAAACACTTGCCAGTGGAAAATTAATTATTTTTCCGTTTCAGCGGACCGTAAAATGCGGCCAACCAGTGGCGCATCTGCTAGAGAAGAACAGTTCCATTTATCATGGAATTTATAAAAGGAAGCTATATATAGAGGCTGATTCAAAACACATCAGCAGTATTTCCTAGTTTCCGCAAAAAATATGTCCTGGAATGTTCCATTTTCGGATGTTACTTCAAATATCCAAAACATTTTTCTCCAAAAGTGTCTGTCAAAAATTTTCGCATAAAAGCAATTCATGTAAAATTTTTCAAAAATGGAGTACTGTTGGGCGTAGAAAATATGGTTCTTTCTTCTTCTGTTATGGTTAAAATGTTTCTATATCATCGGTGTAATTTAAGTCAGAAAATGTTTTGTAAGAATTACCTATTACGTTCGTAATACAAAGGATGAAGGTCAATAAGATGAGTTTTCGGTTCTAGAAATAACTCAAAATTCAAGTTATTTCCATGTATGAAATTTTTGGAACGTATCTGGTCGCAACATTTTCTACTTCATCTATAATAAAACCACAGTAAGAGACAGGCAATATATAAAAATGATAATGTTACTTCACCGCACTCACAATAAAAACAGAAGTTGAAACAAATCAACGCACAGTTATAATGAGACTTCAATTTTTGTTTTCAATGTGAGCGCATGGGAGCCACACTTTTAGTTTTATCTATTTTTTGTGCCTTAGTATGGTTTGTGATAGATTTGAAGTAGAAAGTGCTACGCCCATATAAAAATACTAAGTTTAACCCTTAACTGGTGACGTGCTATTCGGGTATCGTTAGAGGTGACGCTGGGTCTCTTAGACCCACATATTATTTTTTTTACATTCTTGTATGTATTTAAGATATAGTTCAATTTTATATATTGTCTAATTCTGTAATGTATTTGGAGGCAAATAACAATGTTTTACAAATAATTTTGAAGATTATCTGTGTTTATTAAAAATAAATCAGGAAAACTAAAAAAAGTCACACATATTTGTCGAACAGCATAGTTTATCAAATTTTTTTTAAAGACATAATACGTATTCGGTGAAACAACATTGATAGAGCATGAAATAAAAAAAATTAGACATTTTAGAAAAATTTACACTGGAAAACTGCAGCACCTGAACTTGAGGTAAACAAAAAAATAAAATGTTAGTCCCTGGCACATTCAACACATATTTTTTCCACACATGGTTTTTTACATCTCACACATCTTTTCCATAACACACCCTAACACTTATTTCCTCCATCTCAGGTTAATGTTCCTCTTTCGAAGCAGAATTGTTGTTAACTTAATTATTTTCTATTTCTGAAGTTGAATCATGGTCATTGTAATAATCGGGATCTTGTATATCATCATCCTTATCACTAAACTCTCTTTTCACTTCTTCATACGATCGCTGAGTAATAATTTCGAAATATTTATAAGTTGCATGTATTTTTGTCTTGAAGATGCCATTATTAAAAAATTACGTAAATGGTGACGCTGGGTCTCACAGACCCTGCGAAATATTTGACAACGTACGAAAACTCCCTCGTAAAAGTCCACGATGCACACACAACGACGTCTCACTTGCAAATAGTTATTATAGGGGTACCTAGGTAGACAGGCGACAATCTAGTTAAATCCGGGAGTGGGAGTAATTTGAATTTCGCGCAGGGTCTGTCAGACCCATGGCCACCAGTTACGGGTTAATGTTAGAAATTATACGAATGTTGAACAAAAATGCCAAAATTATAAACTTATTGTTTTTAAAGAACAATCGACGATAGATGCGATCAACTTGAAATTTGAGTTATTCTCGGAGCCAAAGCCCGGTATATGGACCCTAATCCTTTAGGTCATTTATTTCTCCTTGCTTTTGGCATTGAAACTTTAACACATTTAACTTAGGACCATGGTTATAGGCACTTTTTGTGTTATTTTTTTATGTATTTCTGATCTATAGAAATAATACCAGTGTTTTTTAATCAGCCTATATAATGGACATCCCATGGTATACAAATGCCTTGTCCAAAAAGTTTAGTCGTCATAATTTTCTGGAAACTAAGCCATATTCATGCCGTCATCGGATCATCTCATCATCCTGTCACTCGAATTTTTACAATCCTCGAGCTCGGGCAACTTTTAATAGCACCCTAATCCCTACCACTAAATATACCCTGGAAGTTATGACTGTGTTTTGACATCTGCATTCATAATTTCTTGCGGTACGCTGAGGGATTACCTGTTAATCCAACCCTCGGTGAATGCGGGGAAACAGAGGGAAAAGAGGGTAGGGTGATTTATGAAACTCTGCGACGGCCGACAGGATTTTACTCATATGAAACAAATAATAGAACATTGTAGCGCTGCCTTGTACATAGTGATGTGTAGTTCTCCGGTGAACTAGTTCAAATGAATTATTCTTAGAACTGAACTAGTTCAACACTCGTTCACTCTAATGCCCAAGTGAGTAAATGAACGATAGCGAGAGTCGGGACGAGCCACACCACCAACCATCGTTGTTTGGTTCAAGGAAGGGAAATAATTTCTATATTCTAGTTGGGCATACCTTCTAGTGATGTAACGAATATTCGCACTCGCATGCGAATATTTTGCGAATATGAATATTAGAAAAAGATAATATGAAAGTAATGTTACGTAGGTACTTAAATAGAACAAGAAATATTAGTTTATTTTTGTTTTGCTAAAATAGACAAATACATATGTTTTAGAAATAAACAGATATGTCTCATTACAAGACAGTTTCGTTCGTTGTACTAGTGAACTGAGACAGTCCAAACAGCGATGGCGCTCTCAAATCAGTGAATGTCTGGAACAGCAGAGCCAACTCTGATCAGATCAAAACCAAAAAATGTATCACAGAGCAACACTCAAGACCAAGCATTTTTGCAGTTTGCATACATGGATCGCCGCAAAAATATAATTGTAAACAAAATAAACACAACCGAAACCCTGAAAGTGACGAGAAATCTCACTCAGGTGCACTGAGTTAAGATAAAAACGACGTGTAATAAAGCGAGCAACCTGACGTGAGATTGTATATAGGGTGTCCCAGAAATAACACGTCAGAGTGACACGGGAGGTAGATAAGCTTCAAATCAATCAGATAAGATCAACATGACCTCACAATTTTTTTCTAGTTTTCGAGATATTGCCACTTTTAAGTTTTTCAAAAAATCACTACTTTTTGCTCCTTTTTGCCTGTTATGGCTATAAAGAACTTCTAACTTTTTCTGACCTACAATTAATAATTGGTTGAGACAACCGAGTATTCATTTCGTTTCAATGTGGAAACCTATACTAAATTTTGACTAATTACTGTTAAAAAAAAAATATGAAAAAATATAATCGGCAAATTATCCTAAAAACTTCCAAGTTTCGTCATTGAAGTCGTTATACTTGCGAAATACTACAGAAATAAATGCAGCCGTCTTTTGTATCCAAATCACTAAGGAATGAAACGACCTAAACATGTCATTGACTACCTCGCTCTCACATTCACTGTTCTGTCAGTAGCACTATGTCTCCACAAGGAACTTTTAGCATACCGCGCTAGTTTTCAATGAAATGAATACTATTAATGGTAGCCCAGGAAAAAAGTTAGAAATTTCTTTATAGCCATAACATGCAAAAAAGGAGCAAAAAGTGGTGATTTTTTGAAAAAACTCAAAATGTGGCAATATCTCGAAAACTAGAAAACTTCTACTAAGGTCATGTTGACTTTATCTGATTGATCTGAAGCGAATCTACCTCCCGTGTCACTCTGGCGTGTTATTTCTGGGACACCCTGGATAAAACGAATATGGCTAAAACTATCGGAAAACAACTTCAAACAAGCAAGGACGTATTCGTGTTTACTTTTCTCAGTAAAAAAATACATATAGAAACAACATTTTTTTTCCCTCAACTTGTTGTGAGAAAATGTTTTTTTACAAACTAGATACTTTTTTGCTTTTTTCATTTGTTTAAACAGCGGTTTCATAACCATGCTAAACTAGAAAAATACCAGACTTCAAAAATAAGCGCATCGGAGTCTTCTCTGATTGTACATGTTCATCCGCATTCGTATTCGCGAATATCGACAGTAGATATTCACATTCGCATTTGCAAATGCCGAAAAGACATCCCTACTCTATAACAGGGCATGGTTGAATATAACCATAGACCTACACAAATGTTTTATGAAAACAAGGGCATTCCATTTTAAAAAAATCACTTTTGATGTGTGGTTAGAATTGAAGCACCCTGTATAATTGCGAATATTAAAAAAATGTGCCCCAGATGCATTATTCATACATATGTACCTCAGTGCCAGACTAGGTTGTCCAAATAAGCAGTTTTGAGATAACTGCATTTGAAATATTTTGCGACTCAACATGATTTATACATTCGTAACTTCCTTATTGTTACATATATGTGGGCGCTGCAAGTAGCAAACGAAAATGCACAATGCTGTCATGAAGTTAACATATATAGCTCACTTTAAGGAGAAATGTACTGAACCAAGTCTGTCTCTTGGTTGAGACATCCTGTAAATCCATGCCAAGAAATTGGCATGTCATTCTGAAACACACTGTATAGCCACCGAATCGCTTTGTATATACCTAAAAAGAGCAGTTTGATTTTGAACCACATGCTTTGGAATCCCTTGAAAGCTGTTGCTTTGTTTGGTACGTATTATTTCAACCTGTGAAAGGTATGTAACCCAGTATGTAAATAATACTCCGTGTGGTGTCCCATTACATCCAAGCTATCAGTATCCACCGCAGAAGTCTGTGCACGACTCCGTTCAATCTTTATAGTCTAGTCGACATATTTACCAATTCAATACAGTCACTAAATAATGGATTCTTGGAGGAGGTGTCTAACTATATACTATATTTGGACGTTCATATTCAATTTTGATAGTGATAGTAATGCTGCCAAGTAGTTTTGCAGTAATTCCCTTAGAAGTAATAAAAACGTACGAGTACTACATTTTGTACTTTTAAAGTCATGACATCAACCTTCCAATAAAAGATCAGCCTTTAGTCTCCCTCGCAATTATTCCTAAGAGGTCGTTTTCTATCTCATCGACAGAAAAACAAAATTCCATAAGAGGCAACAGTCCAAGAGGTGGCAACGTTGAGACCTAAAGACGGTAGTCGTCAGGTATATAGTTGATATCTTCTGATGGAGTGTGTCAATTGGTGGTCGTACACTTATGTTCCTTTACGCGGAAAATCGGGGATCTTGCCAGTTAACAGGCGCGAAAGGACCAACGAAAAACTATCTTTGCCCAAACAGTATAATGTTTCCACATAATTTGCGATGATTGCGCGTAGCACTCCAAATCCAAATGTAAGCATATATGTGTGTATGGTCAAAAATCGTCATTGAGGGCCATACCCTTTTCCAACCTCCAAGCTTCAGCCCCTACAAATTTCTTTCTGAAAATGATTAAGTGCCTCTGAAACCTCAGAAAACGAGCGGATCGATTTTTATTTTTTCGTTTTTTGAAACTTAGCTCCGCCGTCACTAAACTTATTTTGAAAAACTACAAAGCTTTTTCATCCTGAGCATAATAGTAACCCTGTTTGAAAGTTTCACCAAATTTCACTTTTTTCAAGTAAATATAGCTTCTTACAATTAAGAAATACGCATTAAAAACATATCAAAGTCACGATCCTCAATTCAAGATCGCTGTTGAAGCAGGAGCACTCGTTTTTGTGTGAATTAAAATAAATGATTTTACTCACGTTTCTTGGACGGCACAGGAAGTTTTTTCCAACAACGAGTTCCGAACTAGTTCAGAACTAATTCCGAATTATTCTTTTAAAACTACTCTGTTGAAACAGAGAATTACGTGGCTTACCGTACATTTTTTGCAAAAAATGGGAAAACGAGCTTGGAAGCTTGGCGAAATATTCCAAAAAAATTGTACATGATTTTGTCTCTTTCAGAGCTGACCTAATATGAAAGAAATTTATAATATTAACATTACTAGTATCATTTTTGAAACAAATTCATAATAATTATCAACATTTGCCTATGTACTTTTCATTTCTAGTTCTTGGAACTCCTATAGTCGGCGAATCTGTTCCAAAGTGATCTGCATCGTCTCCCTTTTTTTGAATATTTGTCATAAAAGGTACAATAAGGGGTTAGTACTATTTTTTGTTCATTCTATCATATTTTGATATGTTTTAAAATAAGCCAACTGTACTATATAAGTTATCTCTGCTTTTAATCAACTTCTTAGGTACCTGCATTCTACTTAGCCGAATGCGTTGGGGACATCTTTAACATTCTCAGACTGAGGCGCGTTTTCTGGCATATCTGGGCGACAAAAATTCGGTTCCTGATACGTGTTTCAAGGATAATTTATCGCTACCATTTCTGGAAGGACAATCTTCTCCGGGGGGCGTCATTATATCTCGACGTATCAACTTCTGTTCGACACATTGGCGTAGATTCGCTTGTTTGCTGTTAAAAAGAACGAACCGTTGTATACAATTGGTTATGACAGAGTCGAGTTATATAGCGAGAGCCCCTCGTATATCTTCCTAATAGCTATAATTATATCTTATCTTAGTAAACAACCCTATGTTATATATTGATGGTTGTGCCCTTCAGGCATCAGTTTAATCCTATTACTCTTGCATTGAACTCACTTAGGTTAGGTTTGCTAACATATCGTTGTTAGTCTAAACATTATATTTATAGTAGAATAAAGTATCAAATCGCTTGTAAGTCGTTTTTAAAAACGCGATTCCGCGACGCGATACCATCATTGGCGCAGCTAGCAGTTGGATCAGAAGACTGGATCAGAACTCAGCAGAGGACTTCCAGGCTGATTTCAATCACTAACTTCTGGAACCGACGAGACCAGGAAGATCAAGAGAAGCCCAAGGACGAAGATCGACGCCAGAGTGCTGTGTCTTCAAAGTCTGAAGGTAATTCAAGTCGAATTTTCCTTGTCTCTCCTCTCACCTTCTTTTTTAATTTAAGATTTTTGGTGCAGTTTTGTAAAATTTCATTTTGCTGAAGATTGCTCAAAACATTAGTATTAAGTTAGTTCTCGTTCAAGAGCTACATTTTTGAAGAGAACTTAATTTTAGTAAATTTGTCGAGAGCTACATTTTCGATTTAGATTAGTTACTATTTTTTTAAATTTTTGCCGGTTGCAAAATTATTAATTTTAAGGAAATTTTCACATTTTTCATACTTTTACATTTTTAATTTTTACACATTTTACATTTTTTATAGACCATAACTTTATGCAAGATTCTAATTCGGCTCTAGATACTATTACAAACTTATTAGAAAACATGTCTCTTAATAACAGTACAATCACCGTTCCAAGCATACACGCCGCAAAAGCTATTGCAGATTTTCTGCCATATTTCGATGGTGATACCCAACAATTGGAATCATTCATCTTTAGATGCGAAAAATTTTATAATACTTATGGTAGATCGAACGATGCCAGTTTGAACGATTTCGTCTTTAATGCAATTTGTTCAAAACTAAAAAGTAACGTTTACAACTTTTTAATGTGTAGACCAGATCTCATTTCTTGGCCTCTAATTAAAAATGCACTCAGAGAGCATTTCGGTGACAAAATTGACAGACAAACCCTTACGAGAGAATTTCTGCAATTTTCAAAATATAGAAATGAAACCATTTTGGAATTTTTAGGAAGATTAAAATTAATTAAATCAAGAGTTGAAGTTAAAATCCAGACAGATCCTTCACTCACCCCTGATCAGAAAGTTTTACTTATCAGCCAAAATGAATTGAATGCACTAGACGTATTGACCGCAAATTGTGACGATAGGCTTAGACTTCTGTTAGACATTCAACAGCCCTCCGACTTATCAGATGCGACCAACGTTGTTACTAAACATTTCTACAATGAGATGAGAATAGATGCACTGACAAAAAGACAGACTTTCGGACATCCTAGCCACTTTCAATCACATTTACATAAACCTAGACGTTACAATTATAATAACTCATCACGCCAAAATTATTACCCATCTCAAAGATACAACCCTTCATACACTCAACCTAATACCACACATATTAATTATCAACAACCACCAGCCATACATGAACAATTTCCTTCTCAGGAGTTTCACGCTCAATATTCACCACAAAATCATTTTACTCAGACACATCAACCTTTCTTCAATGAAAGTAGACAATTTCCATCTCAACCTATTCCATTACCAAAACCCCTTCCAATTAAACAAAACTTCCCGACAAACAGACAAGTATTTGGACCACCTCAGTCCCAACGCTCAACAAATGTTTTTCGCCCCAAAAACTCATATAAACCAGCACATAATCCAGAACCTATGGACACGTCTTCAAGACAATCAAACAGACAAAACCATAATCAGTTTAAACCTTCCGGACCCCGAAACCTCATTTCACAAGAAGTATATCATGCTGAAGAGCCTGAAGTACACTCTCATTCTTCGCAACATACTTATCAATATCCTTCTCAATATCCTTCCCAAAATTTTCCTCAGTATGACCAAGATGACCAAGATGAACCTTACAATAATCAAGAATTATATTCTGAGAATCACAATTATTATTCAAATAACTCTCAAAATCAACATTTTCGAAAAGGATCCTTCGACAGATTTAAGATAGACCTGAACAATATCAATCTAGCCAACTCTCTCCCATATATCCAACTACGAAAAATCCCAGTAAAATTACTCATAGATACAGGTTGCCACGGTTCCCTCCTTAGACCTTACATCGCCGAAAAGTTTTTCCCAGATCAAATTTTCCATTACAATACGCCCATTTCCACTTGCGCAGGCACAAAGACCAGTCAGTTTAAAGCCTCTATCCCACTACTTGAAGAATTAGGTATTCCCGATGAATTCGAATTTATTCTTTATCCATTTCATGAATACTTCGACGGAATCATTGGAATCCGAGATTTGAGAAAATTAGGATTAACAGTAGATCTCGAAAATCAATTACTCAGAAACCCTACTCTTCAAATCCCATTTCAATTTCGGACTGATTTTGACATCCAAAAAATAGAAATTCCCCCTAGATCAATTGTAGCAAAAGAAATCAGGACTTCTCTTCCAGAAGATACTGAAATAATTTTAGATTCTGTTCTTTATAAGAATGGTGAAATTGAATTACCCAGTTGCATTACCAAAGTAAAAAATCAGAAAGCCACTTTAGAAATTAAAAACAACACTAATTATTCTCAAGTTTTCATTTTAGATCAGGACTTCCTCCAAAATTTTGGAACCATTTTCAACACTCAAGATTACGAACTTTTTTCAATGGAAAACCACTCAATTAATCCCACCCCTGATAACTCATTACCCTTATCATTTGATCTTCTTAGAACCAACCATTTAAATTCAGAGGAAAAACAAGAACTGCGGAAAGTTGTTTCTGAATTTTCCGGAATTTTCCACTCAGAAAATTCTCCCCTCACATTTACTAACAAAGTCAAACATGAAATTAGAACGACTGACGACATCCCTATCCACACTAAGTCATACAGGTATCCCTACGTTCATAAACAAGAAGTATCTAGACAAATTGAGAAAATGTTAAACGACGGTATCATTAGGCCCAGCCAAAGTCCATGGAGCTCTCCAATTTGGATTGTTGCAAAAAAACTAGATGCTAGCGGCAAACAAAAGTGGAGAATTGTTGTCGACTATAGGAAACTTAATGAAAAAACCGTAGATGACCGCTATCCCCTTCCAAATATCACTGACATACTTGACAAACTAGGACGATGCAACTATTTTACCACTTTAGATCTCGCCTCCGGCTTTCATCAAATTGAACTTCACCCAGACTCCATTCCCAAAACGGCTTTTAATGTCGAAAATGGACATTATGAATTTGTCAGATTACCCTTTGGATTAAAAAATGCCCCCAGTACATTCCAGAGAGTTATGGACGATGTACTCAAAGAGCTTCAAGGAAAAGTATGTCTCGTTTATATGGATGACATAATAATATTTTCCAGCAGTCTCCAGGAACACATATCTAATCTGAGAAAAGTGTTTCACAAGCTTAAAGAAGCAGGGTTAAAAATTCAATTGGACAAATGCGAATTTTTATGCAAGTCCGTAGAATTTTTGGGACACGTTGTGACTCCCGAAGGCATAAAGCCTAACCCGAAGAAAATCGAAGCAATTAGGAAATTTCCCATTCCTAGAACTGCCAAAGAGATCAAATCTTTCTTAGGTCTCATTGGTTATTATAGAAAATTTATCAACAATTTCGCTCATTTGGCAAAGCCCCTTACTCAATGCCTCAAGAAAAATGTAAAAATTCAACATACACCCGAATTCATCAAGTGTTTTGAAACTTGTAAAAATATTTTGATGAATGACCCCATATTACAGTACCCAGACTTCACAAAACCGTTCAATATTACAACAGACGCTTCAAATTTTGCTATTGGCGCTGTTCTTTCACAAGGTACGATTGGTAAAGATCTCCCAATTGCATACGCAAGCAGGACCTTGAATCCAGCTGAATGCAATTACTCTACCACCCAAAAGGAATTATTAGCCATAGTTTGGGCAGTACAGTATTTCCGTCCCTATGTTTTTGGCACTAAATTCAATATAATTAGTGACCATAAACCTCTACAATGGTTGTTCTCAATCAAAGAACCCAGTTCCATGCTTGTTAGATGGCGCTTAAAATTGGAACAATACGACTATAAAATTATTTACAAGAAAGGCAGTTTTAATACTAATGCCGATGCCCTATCACGAGTAGAAATTCACCCCCTTGACCTAGTGACAGACAATCTTTCAACTTTAGGAAACTTTGACAGCTCAGAACCTTTTAACATTGACGACATTCTTAACGACGTTTTCCCAAGTCACTCAGAGACCCTACCGACCTTACCAAATGACTTTGGAGACATTTTAGAGACTTTCGATAATCACCAATCTCCGGATGACGATAGTAATACCAATCTTCATCATCAATCATCATCCAATCCTAAACCAAAAATTAAAGTTCTCCAAAACATTCTTATCCGTCCCTCAGAAAAAGTCCGCTCAGACAGTGAGACAGTTCATAGTTCTTTTGAAAATCCGATAATAGAAATCCCATATACAGACAAAGTATTAAACATCCATCAGAACCAAGTTATTTTAGGCATATCACCCTGTAAATTATTTCAATGCCACTTTGAAAAAATTTTCAAAAAGAAAAGGCATACATTTTTAGTTAGGAAAGATTTATTAGATGTAAGCAAAATAAATGAACTAGAAGAAATTTTCGCTAAGCTAATTAAAGAGTATATCAGACCTAATCAACACTACTGCGTATATTTTAAGAATTTAGATTTAGAAAAACCATTCATTAATTTTTTACAAAAGTATTTTCAAAATAAAGCATTTACAATGGTTATAAGTAGGAAAATGCTAGAAGACGTAGTCGATATTGATGAACAAAATAATAAAATTAAATTATATCATGAAACCAAAACTAGCCATAGAGGTATAAACGAAAATATTTTAGCGATTAAGAAGAATTTTTATTGGCCTAATTTAGATGTAGACGTTAGAAATTACGTAAATTCCTGCGATATATGTCAGAAATCGAAATACGAAAGGCATCCCAATAGGTTAATCTTTAAACCAACTCCCATAGGATCTAAACCATTTGAACATTTATATATAGATTCTTTTAAAATTTCAAATCAATATTTTGTAACAGTTACAGATAGTTTTTCAAAGTTTTCACAGGCATTCCCAGTTAGTTCATTAAATGCAATCGAGACAACTAGTACTATGATCCAATTCTTTTCATTTTTTGGCATTCCTCATAAAATCACATGCGATAATGGTACCGAATGGAAAAATAATATTTTCCAAGATCTTTGTAGTATGTACGACATCTCTCTTCATTATACAACAGCATATAATCCCAATAGTAATAGTCCAGTGGAGAGATTTCATTCCACTATTATAGAAACAATAAGAACCTTAAGAGAGGAAAAACCTCACCAAAATATTAGAGATCTCATGCATTATGCAATTTTATCATACAACAATAGCATTCATTCTTCAACTGACTTTACCCCTTTTCAAATTGCTAAAGGACAGCTAGATTTTAGAAATCCCTTCGAGACAACGACAAACGAACAGATTTCCACATATATGACAGAACATTCCCAAATCCTTAAACTTTTGTCTCAACAACTAACAGAAAAGTTAGAACGTAAACAAAGACAAAATTTAGAAAGAGAAAATAGACTTCGAAATCGTTCTCTTTCGCTTGATGTAAAGCAACCACTTTTTTCATTAAATAATTCCAAAACGAAGAAAGACCAACCACTTTACAAAAAACTGACCGACCCTACAGTTACTGGTGACAATAAAGTTATTTCAAAAAATAAAGTTACGCATCAAAGACAGCTCAAACCACAACGAAAAATCATTGTTACAGGTAGACATGACAGGAACAAGGCTGCTACACCTACTCCTGATGATAGATCTGACGATGACATTCCCCTTTCCCAATTATTCAGTCAAAATCACAAGATTAACAAACCCGATCCTTCCACTTCAGCTAGGTAAAGCATATATCTTAGAAAATCAGCACACATTCTTATATCATATTAACATAAGTACCCCCGTATATATTTTAGATAGCATAGGGCAACATATTTTAAGAACGCAAGTATTTTTGAAACAAAATTCCAATCACTTTTCAATTCAGCTTTTACAAAAATTGGAACATGCTATTTCTTTGAAAAATAAAATCGACAATAAATTTGGCATTTTACATAATAAACGCATTAAAAGAGGTTTATTCAATGGTGTTGGTACACTTTCGAAATATTTGTTCGGAACGATGGACTCCGCAGATAAAGAAATCATTAACAATTATTTGGATACTATTAAATCTAATGAGTTGAACTTACAATCTCGCATAAACAAACAACAAACAATATTAAGGGATATTACCACTCACTATGAGATTACTTTTCAGACCATTAGGGATAACGAGAAAATTATTGTTAGTCATCTAAATGACTTGATCAACAACAATAAAATTTTAAGGGAACAAGATAATGTATTATCACTCAGCCTCACTATAGATAAAATTATTTTGGAATTACAAGCTTTATATGAAATAATTAGCAATTTACAAACAGCCTTATCGTTTGCAAGAATACATATTTTACATTCTGCAATTCTAGACACAAATAGTATTTCCTCAATTTTAAATTATTTATCCAAAGATTATAGTAGCGAAAGAATTCCGAAATTTGATCACGTAATTGACTATTATTCGTTATTTACAACCGATGTAACTATTTTCGATAATATCATTTTATTTAAAATTTATGCACCATTAATCTCGAACTCCTTTCATTATTTTAGTGTTTTTCCTGTTTTTCAATTTAACTATACCCTAATCCCAAAATCCCAATACCTTCTTTTCGACTTGAAAAACCACTGGAACACAGACCACCTTTGCACAGAAGTCGCAAATAAATACTTCTGTAAACACGAAGACTTATTAGAAGCAGATCCATGCCTAGTAGAAATTATCAAAAATGGAAGAAACACTTGTCCCATAACAAGAATACAGCAATCAAGAACTCTGGTACAGCAGATATCTTCATCTAAAGTAATCATATGTCCAAGAGAGCCCACTACAGTGCATTCGTCATGTCCAGAAGACGGCCTGATAGTTATTTCTCAACCAAGTCTCATAGAACTCCAGCGATGCAGCTTAGAAATCAATCAACACAAGTTCTATCCCTCAGATCGCATCGACCATGAAACAATTTTCCCTTTACCAGCTATAAGCCTGACCAATTTCACGAAGCAGAACCTTGTTGATGTAACAAAATTCAACTTGAAGACAATCCAGAATCTTCAAATATCCCAAGAACAAATCAACGAAGACAGTATCCAGTTCCCAGATCGTCCCATAGAGAAGACAAATCTAATCATATTTTTACTTCTTCTATCAACTTTCATTGGTTACATCATTTACCAAATTTTAAAGAAGCTAAGAGAAGCAAGAAGACGTAGAGAAGAAGAAGCAGTTCCGGATTCGCAAACTTTGGATCCCCCGTTTGCTCATCTTCGGCAGGGAGGAGTTATATAGCGAGAGCCCCTCGTATATCTTCCTAATAGCTATAATTATATCTTATCTTAGTAAACAACCCTATGTTATATATTGATGGTTGTGCCCTTCAGGCATCAGTTTAATCCTATTACTCTTGCATTGAACTCACTTAGGTTAGGTTTGCTAACATATCGTTGTTAGTCTAAACATTATATTTATAGTAGAATAAAGTATCAAATCGCTTGTAAGTCGTTTTTAAAAACGCGATTCCGCGACGCGATACCATCATTGTCGGAAAGCAGACAAATCATATCCAGCCTATGATAAGAACTCCAAGTATCGCAATAAAAACATTTAAGGTTTATTTGAGGCTTAAAACGGCTTCATTGCGATAAATAAAAAGAAGATGGTTTTAAAGTTACCTTAAAGATATACTACTAGAACTTAAAAAATTGTTTAGCATTTTTTAAGATCATCAAATAAGATCAATTAATCTTAAGTTTATTTTTCTTAAGGTAGTTTTGAAATCGTTTAGTCTCAGTTAACTTTAGAACTATCCAGTTTTATGAAGAACTTGCTGGCTGTTTGCTCTTATTACGTTCTAATTTGTGACGTTGTAGTTTTCAAACAGTTTTAGAGAACCTCATAAGACCCATTGTTAAATCTACTTGATCGTACGACTATTGTGTCAGTAAATTATAAACATTAAACATATTTCTTTAGCTTTCTGTAAAATTGCTTTCTTAAATGCTATATTAAAACGCTCTTAACTTAATGAATTTGGTTATCGTGAAGACTAACTATACTTATTAGAGAGAATAAAACTAAACTCACCCCCTCTTCTTTCATGTCCAAAATGGATACCGCCTTTTGTTTAGAGTCAAACAGTGGTGTAGTGTATTGCTTATTTTAGCAGCACTAGTACTACTTACATTGAAACCGAACGGCATTTTTCATGATCCCATTCAAACTAAACTGCTTTAAATCTAAGGCCAGCATGCTTCTATCTAGGATATGTGCTCAGGGCACGGTATACAATAAAACGTTTGTGTCAATTGGATCATGCTGGATAACAACATCGAAGCTTACATGAAAATGATAAATTATTAACGTAAAGGCGTAATTAAAATTCCGATTTTTTAACATTGAAAAATTTTAAATTATAAATAAAATAAATTATTTCAAATTGATGTCTTTCATTCACGTTTTCAAAATTCTTTTATTATTTTTAATAAATTGTAAAACTGAAATTTTATTGTTATCATTTATCGATAAAGTCGAGGGTGCAAGAATGTTTTTACCGTGACATTCCGACATATAGCTAATCTGTCGTTCAAATGTACCAAAAATATCACCGATTTTGTAGGCACCTGATTTAAAACCGATCGTACGTCAATGGCAGAAGCTACGTACTTAATTCATTGACAAAAACCAAGACATGAGCCAAAGGATATTATCTAAAGTATGGCACTCGAGTCAAGATTACTCAGGACGAGCGGACCACCTTAACAGGCTTGCGGACGCCTTTGATTCGGTTTTTATCGCTTATTAGCCACTTTCAGGACAGTCCTGTCGAAACGCTAAGGTCGCTAAGCAGACCGAGAGCGCTATGGCGGCGGTTGTGTCTTTATATGAAGCCGTAATAGGTCAGACGCCTCTATAGATGGTAATAATTTATATGGTAATCGGTTTCTGGAATTAGTTCTTAGAAGATTAAGACACTAAAGCTGTTAGGATGGCCGAATCTGCATGATAATCTTCGTGATACCAAAATGTCTAAGTCCAAGTATAATCGTGAACAGTCAAGTAGATGGAATAAGTGATTACCACCTTTTCATGATTGAGCAATTTCTAAATTCTAGTTTTTTTCTGGGCTCCCAAAAGTTGCTAAAGAATCCATGACACCTATCGTCACATTTCACAGGATTTCAAAATTCCTGATACTGCCAAAAACGATGCGTTTGGTTCAAGCTGAGTGAGAACTTTAGCAAAGTAATAATAAAAATTTGGACTTCTAATAAATTATCCGTCTGAAAACTCGCGTTGATAGGTATTTTGAGAGTCAAATGTCATAAAAAATACGCGATTTCAGAGAAGTTTGATATTAGAGATTTAACGACAAAAAGCAGGTTCAAAAAACATTTGGCGCTCATTGTCATTGTGAAAAGCCATCAGTCTCAAAAGTTATAAAGCCCTTCACCTGTAGATTATATACACATTAGGTACACATTTTATAGTTTGTATTAAAGCAGCAATGTTCTTATTTTATTTATGTTGTCGTGTTTTTGTACTCAAATCATAATCGTTCGGTACAAGAATATTGCTGCATAAGGTATGTCCTTATCTGTCGAAGTCACTTGATACCAGTGTGCTAGATTATTGTAACGCTTCACTCTGCAAATTCTTTAAGCTGATGACATGTGAACACTTCAACATTCCCACGTGTTTTTCGCATACAAGGCATTGACGTAGTTTTCTGGAGGGGTGCGTTTGTAAATCAGTTCGTAACGTATTACCCTACACAGCAACAGAATGTAGATTGACAGATGAAATTCTACTCTGGAGTACGGTGTAACTTTATTTTTTGAACACCTAAATTATTACAGAGTCATGCAATGATACTTGATGACAACCCACTAATCTCTAACCACGATTACTGTGACCTTTTTTATTACAAGAAACGCTATGGATACGAGATAGCCCATTTATTGTGAAAAATATGTTTTGCTAATTTTGAGCATTGTTTGGTAAATAAATAAAGTGAGCAAAGAATGAACCATGATAATGACAAGTGGCAACATTCTTATTATCGAGGTTTTGACACGGGAAGAAAAGTGCACTGTTGATGTTCCAGAAGGATTACTTTGTTCCATTTCCGAATGCATGGAACAGCTATGTCAAACAATTACGAACGCTCAAATTGTTAGAGTAGTACAAAGTACACTCTGTAAAAATGCGTGGACGCAGCCCAATGTGTTCTTTACACGGAGCTTAAAAATGATCAAAGAGAGTTTTGACGATCAGAAATACCGTATTGATAACCGGTGAAGTTCACTTTTTTGACATTTGAGTTTAGTGATTTATATGGGAAAATGTGAAACGAGGTTAACATCAAATTTTCACGTATGCGTTATTTGTGATTGCCAAAACCCACGTCTACAACCCAGAAGGCTATTTCAAAAAATAAGCCTAAAGGCAGATATGAAAGTGGGAACGTTTCCATAATTCTTTAATTTTATTTATGAGTGAATATGATTTCGAGTGATGATTTATAGCTTATCGATAGCTACACCACTGGTTTAGCTGACTCGACACGATACTAAACCTTCCCTGTGCAATTTGATATCTGGGAACATTGTTTTTTCGCCCACCCTTCTCCATGTACGTGTCGTCTCAGCAACAGGATGTTTATAATGTGAACAAGGCTGTTATGACGATGGTGTTAAGTTCGACGTTTCTAGATACTGTACAGGGTGTTCGCCAATTTTGAAACGACAAAGTAATGCTATGAACTTCAAACCTGTATATCTCTAAGATTTGAATCCTTTTTACGTTGAGGACCACTACTTATAATAAGTTTTCCATACATTTTGCATGAAGCTGTGAAATTTTCTGAAGGCACTGAAATGAAAAGAAATTGGAAGTTCCCAGTCTTTGTTTCTCTCATGATCATGCTTTAACATAGTGAAAACGATTTCTATCGGTACTTCTGCACACTATTGTCTGTCGCTGCGCAGTGCCGGGCAGTCCTGAGCGCTCTTTATCACATTTTCCAACACGTTCTGGTGGGCTTCTGGTTTTGGAAAGAAGGTTTTCAATAGAATCTCGAGTATTGCTTTTCTCCTGTTCTAAAGGAAGACTGTGACCGCTAGATCTTGTGATCATGAAATCCGAATAATACATGGTCCGTCAGAAAGAACGCATGTTTTTTAAATGAGTAGTACAGTCACTCTTTATTACACTGATAAACACAGGATTTGTGATATGGAAATTTTTGGGTATATCTTATGGATTTTGAGACTCTTAAATCAAATCTAAAAACAGAATTTTTCTATCACCCACAGATATTCGGCAACATCTACTTTTATGAATTACAATACGTAACATCTCATATTGCTGCATTTCTCGGCGTTTATGCCTTATTCCTGTTTATTATATGCGAGCTCTATGTTTAGAGAGCATATTGCGTTTATTAGTAGACTAATGGCAGCCGAGTCAGTTACGTTTTCTGTGTTGAAGAGTACTGAGATGTTCTGAGTACTGTTAATTTTTGTTAAAACGGTGTGTTGTTTTTAGTTTATTGTGATCAAGACTAGCTTTATGGACAATGCCTAGAAATTGTGTAAATAGTGCGAACAGTCATTGTTATGTGTGCGGAGAGCTAACTTTTAAATTCCAGAAACGTACTTTTACACCCCTTGTGTTGAAAGCATACGACCTTTATTTTGGAATTAAAGTTGGCGACCAAGATAAACTATGGGCCTCTCATATTGTATGAGAAAAAAGATTTTATTATATCAAAATTCTCAGAAATACATGCCAATTTTTTGAGTAAAACATAATTTACGTTCTAAAAACTATGTCGGCCATATGACGCCCTTGAGCCGAAATGCAGGAATCAAGCCTCTCCCGAAAGGAGCCCATTGCGTCGGCCAGCATCCGTGCAGGAATTTGGGTTGCTTCTCTTCTTATTTCCTCCTTCAAATCGACGAGGGTCCGAGGCTTGCTCTGGTAAACTTTCGATTTTAGGTAGCCCCATAAAAAAATCAGACGTTGACAGGTCCGGGGAGCGAGGGGGCCATGGAATATCGCCATCACGTGAAATGAGACGTCCTGGGAATTTTTGCCCAAGAAATTCCATCGAAGTGCAAGCTGCGTGAGATGTTGCCCCGTCTTGTCGGAACCACACTGTTCTTAGATGGACACGTCGACGTCGAAATTCCGGAAAAAAAAGTTGTTCAGCATGTGGATGTAACGCTCCGAATTCGCAGTAGTTGTTTCTCCATCATCCTCAAAAAAATAAGGGCCAATAATCATCGTTGGGCCTACTGCACACCAAACTATAACTTTCGGGGTATGCAGGGGGTGCTCATGTGCTTCATCACTCATTAACAATGTCATGTCATTGTTATCCAACTGTTCAATCATGAACTGTGCAAAATTAACACGTTGTGCATAATCCCCTGGCAACAGTTGTTGACAAACTTGGATTTTGTAGGGATGGAACAATAAATCCTTCTTCACGGGCGGAAAGATTCTGGTTTTGCATCGTGTCAACTCTCACTCTTCTAACAGTGCGGTTTCGCCTCTGCGGTTTTTTCTTCATCACATTGCCTGTTGTGTTGAATGCTTCCATCCATCTAAAAATGGTGTTACGGTCTGGTACTGTCCCACGACGTGGAACACGAAAGTGAACGCGAAACTCACGTTGCATTCGAACGACAGACTCGCCATTTTGATAGTACCGACGTACAGTGGACACACGATGCTCAACGTTCCAAACCATCTTGCCAACTGAAACGGCACTTCTCCCACTATCCAACACGCCCTTACACACCGACACGGGACCAGCCCACTTGATGAGCTACCCATTCGAAAAACATGCGTTCTTTCTGACGGACCCTGGATAATATTCGTCTAATGGGGAAATTTAAAAAAAGTAATAAGTAAATCTAGCTCCAGCAGGGCAGAACGGCGTATCAGATAGCTACAAAATCAATGAATGTTTTGCAAATAATGTTTTCAGAGTGTTTGTTCCCCCAGAGATTATTCTATGGAGAAATCTATGAAAAATCGTACATGATAGCAAACCAAGCATCATAGAGCATCAGAAGGGCAATACCTGAAAAGTTGTCAAATGATTCACCCCAAAATCTACCAAAAATTAATGGTAACGTATCAAGAAGACTATGTCTTCGTGCTTCATTTCATTTAGACAATGTTGGAGAAACAAATGAGTCAATTATATGTTGGTATTAAGGAGTCTGGTCTTAACCAGTTTAAACCAGTTGTGTCGAGAAACCTACTGGTGGAATAATAGAACTTCGAACTCAGAAGAGATTTTAATCAGGGATAAAAAATGGGCAAAATGGCAAATTTTTAGAAAATTTAACCAGTCTCCAAAATCCCGTGTATTGTATGCGTGGCCATTTTACGAGCTTGTTTCTCTGCGGACACCCTGTACATGGAGTCGTGTCCAGGCGCGTTGTTAACGTGAATTTATGGCGAGAAGGGGATTTTGGGATGATTTAATGTATTCGATATCGTGTTTTACTCTTTAGGCGATTGCAATTAAAATATTGCCTATCAAGCTGCGGCGAAATTTATGCATATCCCGATCTCGGCGCTTAGTGGTATTATGGATTCCGCGAGAAGAAGTGTTATTGACGTTTATGAATTACGAGCAGTAGGTTGCTCTTTTGAAATGATTTAATAACGCAAAATTTAAATTATATTCGTGAAATGTATTGGTTCTGGTTATTGTGAATTGATTCAGGTGTCTACGTCAGATTACCAAAGGATTCAATTGTTTCCCAATACTACTGGAAATGGCTATTTTCCTACAACTTGTTACCGATTCCTCGAGCTACGTTGTGGTAATAAATATTAACGATAGAAAGGTATAAGGGTGGGAGAAGTGGGAAACATATTCTGTATATGTATATGAATATGTATATGGTATATCAAGTCCGCGTCTATATATTGTTGGTATTTCCATAAACTTCAATTATTAGCAAACTTTTTGGTCTGTAACAAGCTGTCGGAAAGGTACGTTTCATTGCTTTTAGTCAAACGCTAAAATTCGTGTTTTTCAAGGGGCGATCGTAAACGTTAACTTTGCCGCGTTAGATCAACAAGGTACCAAGCACGCTTGTAGTTGCGGTCGGACAAACGATAAAATGCTTCCATATCGCTAAAGTGTCAGACATAACAATGTACAAAATCAATTTCCGCATTTATAAAAGGTAAATTGCTATGACTGTAGAAACTATCGTGTACAATTTGAGCTCAAAAAACTTGCTCGGCTTTTTTACCCAAAGGGCTATTTACTGCTTGCAGGTTCGCTTTAGAGCGATAATACTATATCAAGTTCACAGTTTCACGTGATAATTGGAAAATGAAATAATCTGTCGCTCATATGAATCTACAAGGAGCTTCTCAGCAATAGGCGGACTTGTATAAACCAAACGTAAGCCTTCCTCTCCTACAAAAATTAAAAACGGGCCAAAAAAGTCGCCTGGATACGTGACAAACGGCATAGAAATCGGAAATGACGAAACAAGTAGATTTACGCGAATTTTCAGCTAGACCTGCTAAATTTTAATCATCCGCTAATACCCTTTCCAGTAGAAAACGTTCCTAGGGATTAAAAATCCCCGCTGGCGCTGAAACAGCACAGCACACAGACTCTAGCAACTCGGAATCAGAGCATTCCCTGCTTTCCCACGGGATTTTCCATACATACAGGGCCGGACTCACACAAGTTGTCTCAATAAAATATTTCGAAGCTCTGGAGACTAGTGTCTCGATTGATGACCATCATTATGAAATAAGGCAATCTTTACTATAGTCTACGTTGGAGTTGATAGACTTTTTGTTTGACGGAAAAGGTTAAGCATGATAGTTTTGACATTACTAAGAATTTTAGATATAAGCACAATTATAAGTGCTAACCCGTCAAGACGAAATAGTAATAGTAAAAAAGGTAAAAGTTCAGGTCCTCAGGCCCCTGTAACATCCAGGTGTTTTTCCGAGTTATGGTTGAATGTAATTGGAATACTTAATTTTTTTCATAAATGCACGACATTTCTGAAGAAAGTCTTCTGCACGGTTTTGTAAGAGACCCTAAATCGATCTCCTAGCTTTCAATTAGATATTCCAATTCTGCCTCAATCTTTTTCTATTGGTTTATTAACCCTGTTTGTGTGATAAAACATTAGTCTTACCGCTTTCGGCAAGCTTATGCAAGGTATTCCTTCTTTCCGGTCTCGTGCTGCTGTATAGATTGTTGCCTGGATAACATGTGCTAACCTGCGAAAACCATAGTTAGGTGGCGATCGCCAGTTTTTTTCCATCTACTTGCACACATTTTGATCTCTCAACGAGGCCACAACTCCAGCTTTGGTAATCTAGCAAATTTCAAATTTGTAAGAATATTATTGTACTAGCAATTTCACATTGACTAATGACAACAATCCACAATTGGTTTTTCTACTTTAAGCTTACTAGACCAGACATCAAAATCGGATCTCCAAACTTCTGTGGCATATGTTATGTCCATTTACTAAAGGTACGTTTTGTGCGATATATACTAACAAGTTCTATTTTAGAAACATACCTTTTTACTAAACTGTCAAAGGTCAGAGAGGAACATATGAGCTTTCTCCTTGTTTTAAAAGGTGTCTATACCTGAAATACGAAATGATCATCCAAAATATGCTAAAAGGATTGGATACGTTTCTGTTCAAAAATCGCGCGACTTCAAAGTACACGAAAGGCTAAGGTTTGATTAAAAACAAACAGGTGTATTAATATGGGACTTGAAAGGTAGAATCTGGAGGTAAAGTTCGAAAATTACGTAGGTACACGTGGGAGTAGGCCCTTCGCAAATAACCGTCGTC